AGCCACCTCAGGCGCCGCGCAACGGATGAACTGAGCACGCGCCAACACGCATCCGTCGCAGTCATACACCGCGAAACCAAATGATAACCACACCCGCCAACAAAGCACTGCCCTCAGTCACACACCGCATCAACACATAACAAACAAACACGCCAGCCGAAAGCCAGCCATACTCACACCGCGCAACAAATGACAAGGTTAAACACCTGCCACCTTTGCACACCACGTCACAAACGACACGCCCACGCCCCAACTGAGCACCCGCTAGAGTCACTCACCAGGCAAGCAAGGGCACTGGCACCACCCAACTGAGCGCCAGCTACAGCCAAAAACGAAAAAAACACACTTGCCAACTAGGCACCGGCCATGCGCATGAAACCACACAGCAAATTACAAGCGCTTGGGCCAACTGAGCAGCCGCCACACCAATACACCGCACAACAAATGAGCAACGCGCCAGCGACAAACGCTGTGGCAAGTGCTGGGGCAGGAAAACCTGCCAGCGCAAGAAGGGCGAATCCGGAACTGTTAAAATAAGGAGCCTGGAACCGTTAAAAAGCGGGGTGGAACCGTTAGGTAGGGGCCCGGAACCGATAGAAAAAGGCCGGAACCGTTAGAGACATTTCGGAGCAGCGAGCTGGCTACGCCCAACAAAAAAGCCGTCTACCAGCCAGAAATCATACACATGTTGATGTTTCCAGGTAAATTCCAAGGCGCAATTGCAACAGCCTAAGGTTATTCAGCTGAGTTCGTAATTTGGGCTACAACAACCATTGTGCCCACAATCCTGCGCAGGGTTGAGGTTTGACGTTTGAGGGGAAGTTCTGGCTCGTGTTTTGAGACGATCGGTTTTCAATTTCATTCGGGTTCGGCGTTGACCTGACTATTTGGGGGAGGGGATCAGAGCTTCAGGCGCATGTTGTGTGGTGGGTTAGCTTGCTGGGGGTTCAGTTAGCGGGCGCAGCGCTTATTTGCTGCTAGATTCACACTGGATTCACCCCAAATTTCCATTGTGCTGGAAAAAATGACGGAACACATTGTTTTCCGCATGAAAGTCATGGAGCACGCGGTTTTTCACCAAATTTGGGTCCGATTTTCCCTCTAACGGTTCCGGTCCCTACCTAACGGTTCCACCCCCTTTTTTAACGGTTCCACCCCCCTATTTAACGGTTCCGGGCCCTTTTTAACGGTTCCGGTTTCGCTTCTTGCGCTGGCAGGTTTTCCTGCCCCAGCACTTGCCACAGCGTTTTTCGCTGGCGTGCGTTGCTCATTTGTTGTGCGGTGTATTGGTGTGGCGGCTGCTCAGTTGGCCCGAGCGCTTGTAGTTTGCTGTGTGGTTCATGCGCATGGCCGGTGCCTAGTTGGCAAGTGTGTTTTTTCATTTTTGGCTGTAGCTGGCGCTCAGTTGGGTGGTGCCAGTGCCCTTGCTTGCCTGGTGAGTGACTCTAGCGGGTGCTCAGTTGGAGCGTGGACGTCTCGTTTGTGACACCGTGTGAGTATGGCTGGCGTTTGGTGAGCGTGTTTGTTTGTTATGTGTTAATGCTGTGTGTGACTGAGGCGAGTGCTCTGTTGGCAGGTGTGCTTACCATTTTTTGCACGGTGTGTGACTGTGGCGGATGCGCGTTGGCGCGTGTTCAGTTCATCCTTTGCGCTGTGCCTTTGGTGGCTGGCCCGCTCATTATTTTGTTGTGTGCTATGTAGGTGTGCAGGGTGCTCACTTGGCGTGTGTTCCTACTTTGTCACGCAATGTGTGACTGCGGCGGGCGCTTTGTGAGCGGGTGTGTTCATCACTTGTGTGAAATAATGGGCTCGTCCAAAGGGAGTGTTTGAACATGAATTATGTGGTGTTTGAGTGCGGAAGGTTGTGTGCGCTTTTATTCGCTGTAGGCACGCGACTGTGGCGGGTCTTCAGTTGGTGGCCGTGCATTTTGAGTTCGCTGCGTGGTTCGTTAGTTTGGCGGGTGTTCAGCTGGCGGATGGGTTGTTTGTTTGTTGTGTGGTAGCTGGCTGTAGTGCTGATGGTTTATTTGTGCGATGAGTGAATGTGATCCGTGTTCAGTTGGCGGGTGTGAGTATATATTTTGTTGTGTGGTATGTGATGTTGGGTACTCAGTTGGTGCGTGTGTTTCTGACTTGTTGTGTGGTAAGTGGCTGCTCGTTGACAGGTATGTTCATCATCTATTGTGTGGTGCTTGATTGTGGCCAATTGGAGAGTTTGAGTATGCTTTGTCGCGTGGTGTGTGATTCTGGCGGGTGATGAAAGGTTTGCGTGGTTTGTTGGTGTGTGATGCGTGAGTGTGATTATGATGTGTGTTTAGCTGATTGGTCTGCTTCTCATTTGCTACGCAATGTGCAAGTATGGGCAGGGTTCTTTTGGTGTGTGTGCGCATGTGATTTGTTGCGTGTTGTGTGACTCTGGCAGGTGTTCTGTAGGCAGTTGTGGTTATTATATGTTTTGCCGAGTCACTTCGATGAGTAACATGTCTATGTGCATTTACGTGTGTTGCCTCCGAATATAAAACTGTTGCTCCCAAAACGTGTGTTGCCTCCGAATATAAAACGGTTGCTCCGAAATAAAACATTGTTTTGGACAAACAATATATTGACATCTACTTTGAGAAGGGACATTAAACAGCTATGGTTGCTAAAGATGTTGTAGGGTTTTGGGATTTTGTTTTAGCACCCTGGGATGTGCTGTACACAGCTCACCATAGTCGGAAACACCCACGGAATGATGCTGTGCGTGTCTTGGTTTGACGCAGAAGAGGGTTCAAAACATTCTATGTGCGATAACCCACATGATGCGACTCAGCAAATCACGACACGTTTAGGACATGGCTCACCTAATCACAGCTCAAAAGGCGCCTACCCCTATATTTACACGACCTACGTCCATGCAAACACGCTCCAGTTGGTAACTTTGCTGTGCACAAAACGGATAGACCACCGCTTATGCCAAGAGATATTGCTTTGTGGCGAGCGAGCCTCCATGTGCAAACGCCAAAATACCGATGTGACTTGTTTCTCCTGATATTCATGGCTGGTATTGAGACAACAATTGTATAATTCACCCACGTGGGCAAGATTCAAGTCTCCTGGAGCGCTTGTTGATGACAGGATGTCCGACCACACATGTTGCTTATAGTGTCCCACAATATGCAAGCAAGGATGACGGTGCAAGCTTGCATGCTGGATGCTGGGACGCGCTGTGAAGTGTAATGAGTGTATGATGTGTTTATGTGTGAGGCGTTTGGCGGGGTTCAATGCCCTTGAATACAACAGCTATTGTCAGCGCGTAGCCCTTTCGACAGTACTCCACCTGGGAAGTGCCTAGCATACTGAAGCAGGGCGTTTGCTGATAAAATTAAACTGAGGTCGCAGCGCAAATGCTACAAAGCGCTCTTTACTGATTTCTGCAGTCCTGCAATCGTGGACGAACGTTTGCTTTGTGCGTGGGTGACATTTGGAACGTGTCCGTTGGCACCAATAATGGTATGTTAGCAAATGTTGCTAGCATGTTGGTGCAGCCACCATATAAAGGAAGCTACTCAACATGCAAAATAGTTTTCAATCAGAAGTGGATATGGCAGGAAGAAAATTCGTAACACAATCCCCCCCCCAGCATACAAAGGGCAGATATGCACCACAAACAGCTTGTTAACAGGCATTACCTGGCACGCCAGCAGGCTTCATGGTAAAACTAATGCGAGATTTCTATTCCGGATCCGCTGACCCCCCAAACCTGTTTTGCATTGAACACAATGTCACATGGCACAATCGGGATCCAGACATGATTTGATTGCTGTGTGTCCCAAACACAATTCTATGAACTTAGTGAAAAGATTCTCCTCATTGATTGCATGTGTTGCTTGAGCACCAAAATCCAGTTGAAGGCTCTGAATGCACCACTCGCACAGCCCGGCAACGCAAAATATACTGTTTTGGGTATGTTTCAAGTCTGTTTGGCCCGGTTCCTGGAACCAAGCTCTATGACCCTGCTATAGCGGGAACCAAGCTGGTTCCTGACATATAAGTTACCGGAAGCCCTGGGTGATGCAAACAGTTGTGACCTATTGTCGTCATGTGGACTTTTCCACAAGGTATGTTGGACAGCGTTACCCCGATTAATTCGGGGTGGTGGCGGGAATTTAATGCCCGGGATGTCGCGCAACTGCCTTTGTGGGTTTGCTCCACCGCTGACGGCGGTAGTGTCCAGCTGTTTGCGGACGCATGCGAGCAGTTAAATCCTATCAGTAAATGGCACGCTCCACCCGTCATATGACGGGCTCCTCGTGAGGGGGGTGTGATTAGCCATGGTTTATTTCATCACCAGGGATGTCGCGGTAGTGACTGACCTGTGGTGTTTGGCTCAAGGCTCAAGTTTTGGGTTCCGTCGCGCCTCGAATGGGCGTCGCCGAACCCCTGCGTCGACCGACGGCATCTCGGGGGAGAAAGAGACCTCGGGCCGCCGCCAGGTTGGTAGGGACCAGTCGTGCGGCCTGTTGTCGACCAAGGTTGCGGGTTAACCCTTTTCTTGTTTGGTTTGTTCCCTTTTGGTTGTTGTTCTCTGGTGTGTGGGAAACCCTGATCTTTGGGACCGGGGATTGGTTTGCTTTTGGGGAACCTTTCTTTTGTGGCTTGTTTACCCCAACTTACCCATTGCCTGGGCACAGGCTCGTGCCCGAATCACACTGAAGTCCTCATCCACTTGATTCTTAGTTCTGTTGGCAAAAGAGCGCGCGGGCTTTGAACCTCATGACCTCACCAGGTGTCCTTCCACTTGCTTAAGACTATGTGTTATTTTCCCTTGTTGGTTTTAAAGGGAATCGATTTCGCTACTGGAAAGATGTTCATTTGTTCCAGAAGCGAAAATGGATATCATTTGTTCCAGGGCCTTGAGCTAAATGAACGTGTCCTGTATGTTGGCAACGGATTTCTGCGGCGAAAGGCATGGCCAACACGAGGGTAGACGTTGCTTGACATGGGTTCAGTCTGACCAGGATGTCAGCATTCGCCTGGAGTCGGGTTCCTTGCTCTGGGGGGCTGGCCGCGGGGGGAGGTGTCCTTTTTTGGTTTAAATCATCTACCAGGGCCATCAATTCCCCTAAAAGGACACCTATAAACATGATGCGTGGGGTGCCTCAATGGCAATTCCAGAACTTGGGGACTCTATCACTACCTGGATCGGCAGTGGCTGTTTTTCCATGCACTTTACCTCAAAAACCAGCAACAGTGACTGAAACAAAGCAGCAACTTGGCTATCTCGGTCTCGGTACTGGCTTTGTTCAGCCCCAAACATGTTTCTTTTGCACATGGAGGACGTTGTTCAGGGTGTCCAAGCCATTTTCCTTCTTGGAACCTCCAAAGTGGAAACCGATCGTTTCAATGGAAACCACCAGTGGGTTGCAACGTTCGAAGGTGGAAATCCAGAGACCCCTGTAATCGCCTTGCAGCGGCACCTTTTGCATTTCTTGTGGGAGGGGGTTTTCCTTTACTCCTGTGCAACCAAAGCGAATCGACTTTTTTTTGGAAACCATCTCCGAGGACCCCTTCGGAAGATCTGGTTTCATTTAGAGAGGCCTTCTGGGAGCTTCCACGTTTGCCTGAGGGAGGGTAACCTTTGATTTGCGGGGCCTTTGGGCAAGTAATTCAGATCAAGCAAAAAGTCGGTGCCCTTGGTTGATCTGAACTCAGGTCAACAGCAATGACACGTGCGCATGGTTCCAAGACGACGGTGGCTTCAATTTGGCCAATGAGAAACAGCTGATTTTGGAGGATTCCCTTTTAAAACCCTGGTTTTTGGGATCTATCCTTTCACGAAGGGCAGGAACAGTTTTCCTAAAACGGGTAGGCTGCCTCACTCCCGGAGCAGCTGGAGTTTATACATTTGGGAAGATCGTTTCAGTGGTACAAAAAATGGTCAAACTCTTTTGGCCAATCCACTCAGGAAGCGAGTTGCTATATTAACCGGCATGTGGCATCCTGCCATTGACTGGAATTGACCAGGGCTGCATGGTAGTTGGTCCTGTTGCAATATGGCGTAATGTATTTTTTGTGCGTACCCTTTCGCGGTTGGTTCGAAGGGAAACCACTGGACAACACACCATTTTGGGGCCTGTCAAAGATTTCACACAATCCACCGCAGCAACAAGTTGCTTCGAGGCCGCCCAAGTTGCCAGTGGAGATCCATCGCACGGGCGACGTGTGGTGCGCTGGAGAAACATCGCGGGTGTGTCGCTGGGCCGGGTGAGGGGCACTGCTGGGGTTGTTCACAGCCATGGCTTGGGTGTTTGCTACCGGGCTGGTTTTGTTCGAACTGACCGAATCTACAGACATACATGCATGCATGCATGCATGCATGCATACATACGTGTGCACATATGCCACCATGGAAGTATAAGCGCGGTCCTTTTCGCATGGACTCTCTTGGGGGTTCAACGTGGGGGGGGGGGGGGCAGACAAAGCTGGAAGGTTGCGTCGGGACAGTTTGGATACCCTTTACTCGAGGGATGTCTGTCAAGCCCGGCAACTGTAATAAAGCTTGTTGACGAGAGATACGGAGTTTTGATTATGGCACAGATATGTAGCATCTTGTGTTCGGAGCATGCTTAGCGCTTCCACAAGCAAGTTTGCTAACGCAACAATTCAACACTTGGGATCAGTTTGCCGCACGCGGGCTGACGATCAGGTTTCATGTGCTCACCGATTTGGCAAGATGTCAGGCTCAGCATGAGGATCGCACGCGCAGACGCGGGACATGCAGTGAGCCGTGCTAACCCTGCGCAACCTACATGAAGCCAACCAATCGCCTGAAACGGCTGTTGCTTTCACCCCACCAAAGTTTGGACACCATTGCCAGCAACAGATTCAAAAACACACCAACTACACGAGACAAACAAAAGACTCAGACATGTGGAAGGAAGGGCCCCACTGTCCAGAGGGCAAGCTGCTTAACTTGCGCACGAGGTTAGTTACCGGAGCCGTTTCGATGGCTGAGCGCGCCTGTCTTACAGTGCCAGCCGGGCAGAGGCCCGGAAAACACCGCTAGGATTGGTGAGCCACAATCAAAACCGATTCGGGTAGATCAAGGTTAGTAAGGGACCATCCCCTTGCCATAAGTAGTTGCGGATATCCGCTTTCGTATTTCCTTACATGGTTCTGGGTCAACCATTTTAATACCGGGTTTGATTGGGACTCAGGTGCCGCTCAGGTTTTGGGAGTGCGCCCAATCAATAGAGGGAAGCCAAAAACGGGGGTCCCCCAAAAAGAGACTCCCTAGGTCCCCCAGTAGTGCCCTTTCTCACCCTTTTTTGGGGTTTCGGGTACCCTTGTTCTAACCTCTCTACTGGAGGACCTAGGTTGCTTTCCACAGCCGTGGAAGACTGCACCCATCTACTCAGTCCTAGCTTCTTTTCGTGCCCAGGCATGGCTTGGCCGTGCAGCTTAGTGTGGCTAGGTTCCTTTGGACCTGAAAGGGGTCCAGTGAAAACTTCCCCAGAATTAGCTCCCCCTTTTTTTCTCCCGCTTTTTTGGGGTCCCATTGTTTTCCACTAACCAGGCAAAACATTGTTTTTTTGCAGGGGTCCTAATTCCAGCCTAGAAAAGAGGACAGCCGTGCTGTTTGACCGAACGTCTGAATTGCTTCCCCTGGTACTGCCCAGGGTCACTGCAAAACGATAGGGCCTGCAAAAGACAGAGCCCGCCTGGAGCGCAAACACCCCTTTTCTGCACCTTCCCTGTGGAACAAATGCCCCCGCAAAAAACTCCTCGCTCACGGATCTCTTTCCGATGGGCTGAGTTGGACATGTCTTACGATGGTGTTTCACACTTTTAGATACTCAACCGCTGAGTTGCCGGAGGTAACATTTGGTGGCCTGCAATTCGAGCGGAAGACAGCAAGTTGGGACTCTTTCAAGAATAGCTTGTTTTTTGTTACGGGCCCTCCAAGTTTGGCTGGGCAGTTGCAGCAACAAGCCGCCGGGGCCAACCCTTACAAAGACAATCGGCAAAATGTGTTTTCCATGCGACGGGTGCTATGTCAGTGCTGCAGCCCCAAGACAAACAGAGCCAACGCGGCCACATTCTAAATGAAGACGAGGCAAGAGCAGCCCCAGAGCACCGGAGCTAGCATGTTAGTGTCTCACTTCCTGAGTTCCTGGACTTTAGTCACTTTCTGGGTTTAGACCATTGGAGCGGTAAATAGTAAATACAAAAGTGTGGTTCCTTTTTTGGGCCCATCCACTGGATGGGAAGAGAGGTGTGCAGTTGGGATTGGGCTGATTCAACTGGCCGCAGGCTGACGCACACCATCCCATGCTCCTGGGAGGAAGGGGGCGACGGCAAGACCCGCACCGTGACCTTGGGCAGCCTCGCCGCTCGGCGGGTTGAGGTTGATGTGCCTAAGTTCCTTTTTTCCTTTTCTTTTTTCGGTCTTTACGATTTGTGGGAAACCCGTTTTTTTATCCTTTCTTGTTTTTTCTTCGTTTCTTTTTTCCCCCGGTAAACAACAAGTCAACTCAGGAAGCGAGACATTTTGCAACCATCTGCTTGGGTCGATCTTTGGGTTGGAGTCAGCCTCATGAAGCAGAACCCCCTTGCATTGCGCCAAAAACATATAACGAGCTCAGGGCAGCTCAGCTCCGGAAAAGGCGGGCTTTGAGTTCTGCATTCCCCATTTTGCTGAGGGAAGCCCGCTCAGTTTGATGGCTAGGGTCAGTTTCTGTGCGGGTTCTTTCTTTTTTTTGGGGGGGGGGGCGGATCGGACCCCCAAAACGGTGGGTTCCCTTTCAAACACATGGAGGGGTACCCAGAAAAAAAGACCAGGCAGGAGTTGCACTAGGGAACCGCATTTAATTTGGTCAGTGCTTCGCGGAATGTGCGCGCTGGTTGTCGGAAGCCCCCTTGCAACCTTCGCGAATCGACCAAAGCTGACCCGGGAGGGGGGCCCTGTTCGATCAAAGATTTCTTGGCTTCCATTCCATAGCTTTAGGCTTAGTCGTACTTTGTATGTTTATCCCATTAAAGGTTAAACTTTTAGCGGGGGAGTTGAGGGCAGATTTGTCAAGGTTCCCAACTGAAGGGGCCTAGTTTTTCGGAGACGGCCTTTTGGGCCCCACCCCAACCCCCACAGATGAATCCAACCTATACGAAACCTGGGGCAACTTGAGCGGTACTGTGCAGCTTGGGCGACACCTGCAGATGAGCATGGACCTTCTTCGCCACTGAAACTTGTCTAATGTTGACCCAGGATTAATGAACCCGTCCCACTATTGGGGGGGGTGTTCCCTCCAAAAGTGATGAATCCCCACTTAAAGGGGACACCCCCTATTAATCAACAAGGGGTTTACTAATCCGGGGTTAACATTATATTGAGAGAGGACCCCCCATTTTGCAGATTCCCACCTTTGATTTGCAGGGTGTTAATTGGGGGACGACAAATTTGTGGACCCGAATCGAACTCTGTGTCTTTCCTCTTGGACTCCTTTCAAACCCAGCTGAAAAAGTACCTTCAAACAACTCAAGCAACTCATGCAGCGAACAATGTGGAAAGCCAACAAAGACCACAAACACTGTGGAAAGCAAAAGAAAGACAAGCAAGAACCCAACACCAAGTGCCAACCAGTTTTACCCTCGAGGCATCTTTTTCTCGAGGCATCTTTCTGGGGTCTTTGTGGCGGTACACCCTCACCAGAGGTGTTCTTTCCAGAGTGCTTCTCGCTTTCCAACACCTGGGGCGGGCAACAGCCGAGACCCGAAGTAGCGCCCTGTGGATTCCCTTTGTCTTCCATCACCCCGCCCCACCCCCCCAAAAAAAGAAAGAAAGAAAGAAAGAGCACAAAAACACACACACACACACACACAAAGCACCAAAAACACACCAAATAAAGCAAGAACCGAAAAACACCAGGTGGTATCCCTAACAGCCCGAACCCTCCCTCAAAGCTGCCCTCAACCACCCTGGATCGCTTATTGAGGCCTATCAACCCCGTAGCTTTCAGCTGTTGGGAAGACAAAACCATGAAAAGTGCCAATTCTCTAAATATGAAGTAACACCTAGTTTTTGGGGTAAAGTAGATGGAACAAACTGGATCGCAACTGGCGATCCCACCCCACCCCACCCCACCCCACCCCACCCCACCCCACCCCACCCCACCCCATCCGTTTCCCGGACCGTTTGAGGGCGTTTGTCTTCTCGTCGCCTTTTTTCACCCCGCTCAAGGACTGGAAGGCGGTGTCCCTGGGCGAGAAGACCATCGACCTGGAGGTCTCCGTTTTGGTGAGGCTGTGGCCCAAGTTGACCGGCGGAATGGTCCAAGTGCGATAGAAATACTGGGTCCCCCAGCGAGGTGCCCTCTTACCATATTTTTTGGGGGTGTTGTTTTCCCCCAGCCAAGTTGACCGCCTGGATGATCCAAAAATTGCCACCCTTTTTTCCCCCCGGGTGCCTTAGAATAGAGTTTGCGAGTGCGGTGACATACGGCGAGCCATTTGTTCCGTGGGGAATGCTAGAAGAATTGTTGGTTGGGGGACAAGCCACCGCCCTTCAAAGGAAGGGGGGATACCCAAATTTTCACTCGCCAAAGCGAGTCGACCTGAATTCACTTTTTGATCTGGCCCCCAAAGGTGAACCTTTCAGGGTCCAAGGGCGGCGGCAACTGAGCCTAGCAAGCCGGTCGTTTTGCTCACGAATACGTCTTGCCTTCCCCTGGTTTCAGAGAGAATCTGTCACGCCATGTGTTTTATTTTTTTCCTGGTGACTTAAGCAAATGGTTCGGGAAGGGTCCCGCACCAGGCCAAACTATTCACCTCTCTCGCTCCCATGTTTGTTCAATGTGGTTGCCATTTGGCATGCACAAAGTGTGCTTACTTTTTGGATTCAATCCACTTACGCCCGGAAGTGAGTCCTTTAGCAGGTGGTCTTTGGATCTATGGAACCCTTGCACCGGCCCGCGGGTTTGTCTCGGTAGGAAACGTCCAGTTGCAACCAGTGGACCAACTGCAACGTTGTGGCTCGCGCCGTGAATCAGGGCAAATGGTGGAAAGGTCGCAGGGATGTGGGGCAAAGACCCGCGGCAAGAGTATTGCTCAAAATCCTGCCAATGTGGCAGGAGTGCCACGTTGTGCGGGCCCCATGTTGCTTATTTCCGGAAGCTCGGTGTTGAGTAATTTCAGACGCCCCATGATAACCCGATTTCTTGGTTCCAGGT